ATTGTTAGTCCAAATCAGAGACCATATTGCCTTCTTCATGATCTGAGCAAGTAACTGAAATTTTTTTCTTGAAAGGTTCTGCAAAGGAAAAATCAAGTGTGTTTATGTCTTTTGGCTTCTTCCTAAAGACAATTATTCCTCACCAGGAGCTTATTTTTTACTGAAACATGCTTAAAATAGGGAGAGGTTATCCATTTTTTTTCTGCAATACTGGGAAAAAATCCCACAGCAATGTGTACTAGGGTGAATGTTTGGGAAAAGATTGTATTTGCTTTATACAGCTGGAGATGAAGAAATGACAAGATGATTTTGGCCAACTGGTGTGTTAGTGCACCAAGTATTAGCAGATGGCGTTAATTCTTCACTGTTTGCAGTAATTTTGTCTCTAGAAATAGAAATTGAGAATCGGAATCAAGGATCTAAAAGAGATGGATAGGTTTTGATATCGTGAATGATCAGTAATTATAATGAGTCATTCAAGGAAAGGAGGGCATAGTAGAACATTAAATTACCTTTACTGTTAATCTAAATTTTCAGACTATCATGACACTTAAAGGTCCTTGTCAGCCAAACAAAACATTGCTCTCATATAAATGAAGTGAGTAAAATCTATATAATAGAAACTCCCAGCACTACACTTCAACGTAACATTTTACAGTAAGGAAAGATCAAATTTCGGATCCATTTGGATCCTCTTTTGAGAGTCCTACCTCATGGCTGGAGTGAAATAAGTCTTTAGACTATTTTTTAAATTCAGGGGGAAAAAAAAAAGAAAAAAACACCAAAGTCCGAAGCAGAGTGGCTTTTAGACATTTGTTCTCAAAGGTCAGTAAGGGATGGCATAGCCTGGTGTAACCTATTATGTAGATCAGTCTGTGAGATACATGAAAACTCTAATTGACTCTAATAGAGTTCGGTAGCTTAAGGAGGAAACCAGCCTTGCTCTGTAAGATTTTTTTCCACTGAGATCGTTCTGTGAAAACAATAAGAAAAGGCAATCTTAAGCAATTGCGTATCACAGCAGTGTCCGCACGCTATCATTTTACATTGTAATGAAGAATTTCCTAGGCTTATTCAGAAACCTGCAAGGCCACAGAGCTTCATCATTTGAGACAATGGTTTCAATTTCAAGCAACAGCAGGGGAAGAAGGGAAAATTATTGCAAGAGTACATTACTCAGCAATATCTTCCTTTCATCTCCCTTTAGATACTTTAAACTTGCAGTGAGGCAGGTTTTGGAACTTCTGTGTTAATTTCAGCAAGTATTAGGACGTTCTGAACAACTATTCTTATGTCTTAGAGGTGGGATACATTATTTATCCTTGTCCAAATGACACAATAGGAGCAAGCAGGGAGGTTTTTTGACTGGTGGAGGAATGAGTCTGCAGATTTAGGTCCATCAATCTGAATGAAAGGATTACATGTGTCTGCTGTCACAATAAAAAAT